AATCAAGCATATACCCTCATCAATAAAGAAAAGAGTCAGGATTAACTCCGCTAATAAAGAAATATTCCAACAACACAGTAATTTTTATAACGCAGCCCTAAAAAATAGCGGATACAAAAATGATAACATCAATTATAGAAACAATTATACTAACCAGAAGAAAAACAGGAAAGAAAAATCATTTGGTATACCCCTCTGTTCAACCAAATGGTTAGTATTAAGCTAGGACATAAATTCCTAGCCTTAACTGAAAAACACTTTCCTACAAATAGCAGACTTAGTAAAATCTTTAATAAAAAATTAAGTTACAATTGCACTGAAAATCTAGAATGTATAATAAAAAAAACACAATAATAAAATCCTGAATAAACCCCCATGCAAGAATAGTATTAATAAAAACCCTACACTTAAATTAGACAAAAATAGTGAAAAATTATGTGATTGTAGAAACCCAGAAGACTGCCTGTTGGAAAATATATGCCGCGTAAAATCTGTGGTATACCAATGTACTATCTCATCCACTGAGAGTCCTCATACTAATATGATATACATTGGGTCTACGAAGAATGAATTTAAAACCAGGTGGAGACAGCATAAAAGCTCCTTCAACAACATTAATAATAGAAATCAGACATCTCTATCTAAATATTTTTGGCATTTGAAGGAAATGAATAAAACACCAAAAGTAAAATGGAAAATTATAAACAAAACTAGAACTTGTAAAACTTGGGATGATCCATGCCCTTTATGCCTACATGAAAAACTATACATTATTAAGTTTCTAAATAATCAAAATCTATTAAACAATAGACATGAGTTAACGGTTGTTTGCCGACATCATCGAATTTTCGCATTGAATAATTAGCATAAAAAACAAACAAACAAATAATAAATACAAATTTTGAACTCCATAGTCTAAATAAAAAGTTTAAAAGCCCTACCAAAAAAAAAAACCCATTATGAAGTCGTCAAAAAAATTCTTACCTAATTATGACAGTTTTATATGCACAAAACCCTTTCAGGAAAGAAAAGAAAATAAAAAAATAAATAAATCTCCATAGACACTTAACCAAACTAGACGATGTCATCTTCCGCTTTAAATTTAGACACCCCAACCTTACCCTGACTTGACCTCTTGAACTGAATGTAACTGAGATATTGATACAAATTATTAACCCTTACACCCCTTATTTAAATAATTGCTCTAGCCGTTACCATAGTAATTTTAATTTTAAAAATGAATATGCTTATAAAAACTATAAAAATGTAAATTTCAAGAATTAGTTATTCCAAAAATTTCGCTTGAAGATGGAACAGAGCTTGGTACTTTAATTCAATTTAATTCAAATAATTATATTGAAGTTATCGGCTCTTGTTTTGAAATATGAGAAGTCTTATGTAGCGATGGAATCAAATCTTTAAACAAATAATTATATATATATATATATATATATATATATATATATATATTATTCCAGAATCAAATTTACAATTTATTCGAGATGATCTGTTCCCTCTTTTTAAAACTTATTCACCGTTCTCTTGATGGTTCTTGAATGGACTTTGAAGATGGAAGCCAGAGTATGAATGTTGGTACCATTACTGAAGGCCTGAATATTTTTTCCTCTCATCATTGCTCATTTGGGAAGACATTGAAGCTGACACAAAATGATTTTAACCCGTTCTCTTTATAGCCAAATAAGTGAAAGGCTTTTTCACTGATCCTTATGAAAAATGATGTCGAGATGGTTAAACGTCTTATCTGAAAACCTGGCAAAAAAAAACTCAATCAGTTTAGTGGGTTTTTAGATAATTAAACATTTTGTTGGAAGGATATTTATGCTCTAACACGATTTGGACAATTTTGCTGTTACACCCGACATATCATTGTGATAAAGTAATAATACGCCGTAGAATGTATTTTATTTGTTTAATATAGTGTTTATCTTTTTGTGTTACATTTAATGATTTTTATTGATTTTGTATATGAACTTGTGCACAAAGTCCTGATTGTAAAAGTCTGAATATGTGATATGTCCTAGAAAGGGATATATTTGTTCGAAGTAGCAAAGTGGTTTTGGACTACTGTAACCGAGTAGGACAAATCTAGCAGGTAACCGTAATGGACTGGTCCTCGTCGTAGTGGTAGACAATCGGCGTGCGCAATAGGCAAAGACAATAGGCGTCGTCAATGTGCCTCTACATCAGTCTGTATTTATGACTGACACCAGCCAATCATATTACTTTAAGGGGGAACCCACGTGTATGCATATTCATTACATCACCTCCTCCTGAGCTAAATTTTCCCGTGAAATTTAGCTTCAATATTTTCTCTTTTTAGGGTCTGGACTTAATCGATTGACTTGTTTTTTCTTTTGTTTTAACTTGTGAGGTCAATTCGAATCTCGTCTCCAACTGATATGTCCCAGAAAGGGATATATTTGTTCGAAGTAGCAAAGTGGTTTTGGACTACTGTAACCGAGTAGGACAATCTAGCAGGTAACCGTAATAGACTGGTCCTCGTCGTAGTGGTAGGCAATAGGCGTAGACAATTGGCGTCCCCCTGTACCTCCACATCAGTCTGTATTTATGGCTGACACCAGCCAATCAAATTACTGTGAAGGGGGACCCAGGTGTATGCATATTCATTACATCAACATGTAATCATCCAGGGTCTAAGAATGGATTAATCCATTTTACATTGATTCCTACGGGGAAAATATTTTCGTTTTACGAATATTTCGGGTCACGAACTGCCTTCAGGAGCGAATTAAATTTGGATACCGAGGTTCCACTGTATAAGTATCTTTTTTGTCCCAAGTTTTTTTAAAACTTCATCGTTGCTCACATGCTCCGTCCATGGCATTCCTGACATATTTCTGTAATTACAAAAATAGTAACAAAAAATGCATAATAATGATGTAACTTAAGTTAATAGTACTGAACTGTTAAGTGATAACTTCCTCCTGTAAGGCAGCTAGACAATTTCCTCAAAAACGAAGAATATACTTGAAACAAAAGAAATGTGGTTCTACAGAAGGATGCTGGGGATACCATCGACCGAACATGTGAACAACGACGAGGTTTTATAGAAATTATAAACAAAAGGAAGACTTATACTTAACACCAGGTAGAGACAGTTGAAATTTCTGGGGCACGTAATGAGGAAAGAGGGCTTGGAAAATCTGATACTCACAGGACAGATTGAGGGAAAGTGGGTTAAAGGAAAGCAGCGTGAAACATACTTGATGGGCTTAAGTAAATGAATGGTAGAACAGGGATTGGTAGAATAAACAAAACAAAACAATACCTATTAAGATCTCCAAGGGACAGTGGAGATGTGGAGGGCCATGATCGCCTATGTCCCGAAGAGACACTGCACATAAAAGAAAGATGATGATGTGGGGGAGAGCGGGTAGTAGAATTAGACCGAAATTAGGATAAGAACAGTGCCTGTTCGTTAAAGACACTGGTTCCATTCAAAAAGCTTCTTCACGCAAGCCACTGCTATATGGAACAGACTCCCAAGAATTTTAACCTGTTCAAGTCTAGAGTAAACCGTTATCTTCCCCTCCTATTTATATATGCTAGCACGATAGGTAACCCTCTACGTCGAGTGGCCCCGGGCCTTGTACAACCTTAATGTAAAAAAAAAAAAAACAGAAGGATGCTGAGAATACCATGGACTGAACATGTGAGCAAGGACGAAGTTTTAGAGAAAATGGAAACAAAAAAGACATTTATGCTTAACATCAGAGAGATATGAAATCTGTAGGGCACATCATGAGGAAAGAGGGCTTGGAAAATTTGATACCCATAGGACAGATTGAAAGCAAGAGGCAGAAGAAAGTAACACATAGACTACATAGAGCTCTCGTAAGCGGTTGGAAGAACGGGGAATAGGGCTACAAAGAGCAGTTGTGGAGAGCTATGATCGCATACGTCCTGAAGGAAGATGGCGTATAGAAGTAAGAGATGATGAGCGTTGCAATGCGAAACTCTTGTGTTGGATAACCATTATAAATTATCTTGATTAAATAGTTTAAAAAAAAAACACTTTTTTTTTTCATTCATACAGGATTGGCTGCTTTGAAAAGGCAAAATTTACTTTAACAGTTTAAGATAGTCATGAGTTACGACTCTCAGATCACCTCAGATCATACATCCACTGATTAAAAGATCTTTGTAGATTAGAATCGAATGAATATGTCGTCTTGCTCGCTTCGATCCCACCGATCTCGTTCTTAAGAAGCTTAACGAACTCTGCCAAAGATTTTTCTTCTCTTCCAGTCATCAAACCAGCTGATTCCCGGTTTACTTCTTAATCGCTGCCCAAGAGAAGCCATGACCAGTAAACCATGGCGGCAACGTCAGATATCGGTTGATGACTGTTTTTCTCTGTAGGTTTGTGAAGTCGGAATACGGATTATCCTAAATGAAAAAGCGTATTTCTTTGGCGGTGAATCAAGGGAGACACAAAATAATAATATGGCTGAAAAAATATCTGCGTGTGAAGAAACGAGAAAGAAGATGGCGGTTAGTAAAGAGGGATGACGCCGGTAAGTAAGTAAGGGTGGCTGGAAAAACGACAAAGGAAACAAATATGTCCGGGGAAAAATACATCCTGGGAAATATACAGCCGGAGAAAATTTTTCAAGAATAACAATGACAAATATAGCTAAAACAAACTTTCAATTGATGTAACTTTCTCTTGCTTTGAAAAAGGGACTTACAATCTAAGTTCTTTCTTTATTTCTTCTATGATTGAAAGTCCTTTCTTTCTTTCTTTCTTTTTCTTTTTTCCTTTTTTTTCTTTTTTCTTCCTTTTTTTCTTTCTTTCTTTCAAATATTCAACTAGCTATTTAGTTATTTGTTAATTTATTTATCCCCTCTATATTGCAAATTCTTTCTTTCTGTATTTCTTCATTTCTTTCTTTTTCTTTCTTTCTTTCTTTCAAAATCAAACAATTTCTCTATTTATTTCTTTATTTCTTTATCCCATGAAGATTCCAATTTTTTCCTTCTTCTTTTCTTTCTTCCTTTCATTGTTTCCTTCACCTTTTCTTTCTCTCTTTCTTTGTTCTTTCTTTCTTTCTTTCTTTCTCTCTTTCTTTCTTTCAAAATCAAACAATTTCTCTATTTATTTCTTTATTTCTTTATCCCATGAAGATTCCAATTTTTTCCTTCTTCTTTTCTTTCTTCCTTTCATTGTTTCCTTCACCTTTTCTTTCTCTCTTTCTTTGTTCTTTCTTTCTTTCTTTCTTTCTTTCTCTCTTTCTTTCTTTCAAAATCAAACAATTTCTCTATTTATTTCTTTATTTCTTTATCCCATGAAGATTCCAATTTTTTCCTTCTTCTTTTCTTTTCTTCCTTTCATTGTTTCCTTCACCTTTTCTTTTCTCTTTTCTTTTGTTTCTTTTTTTCTTTCTTTCTTTTTTCTTTCTTTCTCTTTCTTTCTTTCAAAATCAAACAATTTCTCTATTTATTTCTTTATTTCTTTATCCCATGAAGATTCCAATTTTTTCCTTCTTCTTTTCTTTCTTCCTTTCATTGTTTCCTTCACCTTTTCTTTCTCTCTTTCTTTGTTCTTTCTTTCTTTCTTTCTTTCTTTCTTTCTTTCTTTCTTTCAAATATCCAACTAGTTCTATTTCTTTATTTATTTCTCTCATGTATATTGCAAGTTCTTTCTTTCTTCTCTTTATTTCTTTCATTCATTGTTTTTTTCTTTCTTTATTTATTTATTCCTTTCATTATTTCTTTCTTTCACCATTTCTTTCTTTGAAATCTCCAACCAATTGTATTTCTTTCTTTCTTTCGACATTTCTTTCGACCTTTCTTTCTTTTATCATTTCTTTCTTTCAAATCTTCAACCAGTTCTCTCTTCGTCTTTCTTTCTTTCTTTCCTTCCTCCCTTCTTTCTTTCTTTCTTTCTTTCTAATCTCCAATCAATTCTATTTCTTTCTTTTTCTTTCTTTCTTTCTATCTTTCTTTCTTTCTTTTTTTCTTTCGCCGTTTCTTTCTTTTACCCTTTCTTTCTTTGAAATCTCCAACCTGTTCTATTTCTGTCTTTCTTTCTTTCATTCTTTCTTTCTTTCTTTCTTTCACCCATGTATTTTGCTAGTTCATTATTTCTTTCTTTTTCTTTTCGCCTTTTTATTCCTTCTGTTTCAATGTACTCGTTTCTCTCCCTCGTATCAATCAAGTTATACACTGTATTCTCAAAACGGTTAGACATCTTATTCGCTCATAGCATCCATGATTATTACCTCGGTGTCATAGTAATAATCTCTCTCGATCAATAACGAACCTTAGAATAAACATTGTTTAATATCGGTTTCATAATTACGACATAGCTTCCTTCTACTCTTATTCATATACTTCCGTGTTTCGTGTCCCTTCAGAACTCAGCCGATCATAGCTCTCCACATCTTTCTGTTCTTTGTAGCTCTCAGCAAAGCTAGCCATTTTTGTTATCTCTCCTAATTCCTGTAGTGGCAAACAGTTACACAATCTCCTTATATATGTTACCCGCTGTTTTCCCTGTGTTTTTTCCTTCAATATGACCTGTGAGTTTCACATTTTCCAAGCCCCTTTTCCTCATTATGTAACCTAAACATTTCAACTTTCTCTTTTTGATCTTAAGTATAAGCATCATTTTGGTTTTCATTTTCATCTTTACTCACGTTCAGTCCATTGTATTCTCAGCATCCTTCTGTAGAACGACATATCTACGATGCTTTGTGTCTCTTCTTTATCTAGGTGAATATATTCTAGTATCCACTGCCATCAAGAATTCATTGAGTGAATATTTCTTCTTTTTTTAATAAGCATATCGCACCTAGTACGCAAGGGGCTACAGAGAGTGAGAGTGAGAGTAAAGAGGGGTGCTTGGGGAAAGGATAAAGAGAAGGACGGGGATCAAGATCAAGGCATTAGAAGATGTCGATGGACATTACATTTGAATATTTGAAGATTATATCTATCTCTATTTTGTCGCCATATTTATTACAACGTTTCGGCCGTTGTACGCTCCGGCCTTCTTCAGGTGGTTGGAATGTTGAACTGAACCCTTTATTTCGCTCGCTGGCTTGAATGTTCTAGTTCCACGCCCCATGTCTAATGGTTGTCAGTTATCCATGTGTCCTGGTTAAGGCGGTGGAGAACTTGGAGAGGGGAATTAACAGGAGATAACTGACAACTGACATCCTGTTATACCTGAACGTACCTATTCTATTATTAATAGACTCTCCCACACATAATAAGTAGTAGTAGTAGTAGTAGTAGAAGTCGTCAGTTGAGCTCAGTGAAGTTGAGTGAGTCAGTCGATGTCGGACATTAAAGTATCAACCATCACAACTAGATTGCTGCGTCATTAATTATTATTGCAAGTTCCTAACGTTTTGCACGTCGGACCCTTTTTAGGACCGACTTATTGAAATACAAGCCTCCACTGTGAAAACTACTCTACAACACATCCATTAGACATGGCACGTGGAACTAGAACAATCTACCCCAGTGAGCGAAATAAAGGGTTCAGTACGACATTGCAACAATCTGAAGAAAGCCGGAGCGTACAACGGCCGAAACGTTGTAATAAATATGGCGACAAAGATGAGGACAATAGTCCGAATAATGTAAATAGTGTACATAATACATCATCTCAGAAATATAGACAGATACTGAAAGGCCGAAATGTTGTAATAAATATGGCGACAAAGATGAGGACAATAGTCCGAATAATGTAAATAGTGTACATAATACATCATCTCAGAAATATAGACAGATACTGAAAGGCCGAAACGTTGTAATAAATATGGCGACAAAGATGAGGACAATAGTCCGAATAATGTAAATAGTGTACATAATACCTCATCTCAGAAATATAGACAGATACTGAAAGGCCGAAATGTTGTAATAAATATGGCGACAAAGATGAGGACAATAGTCCGAATAATATAAATAATTTTGAAGATTATAATTACCAGAAAGGCAAGTAAGAGGAAGGGAGTTCCGCAGACAGGAAGTGCGAGATAAGAAGCTGTTGGAGTAGAAGGAACGGTTACATTTAACTGTTTCGATAGTGAAAGGGTGGAACCAAAATGCCAACCTAGTAGCACGCTTAAATTTATGCAGTTGCGGTACCAGTGAAAGAAGCTCGTCAGAGAAGTTGCCATGAAAATATTTGTAAAAAAAAAAAAACAGAGGGAAGTCACAGCACGTCTGTGAGAAAGTGACTCAAGCGAGAAAAGTCTTCTGGCAAATCCCGAGAACCAACTTGTTCTGCATTTATGCCATTTTCTCGCTTAAGTCCATCTAGACTAGACCTAAAGAGTTGTGAGTTCAATACAAGACCACAGCAGTGGTGAACCAACAAAACTTGGAGAGTTGAGTTAAAAGGAAATAACTCTGAATAATGTAAATTAAAATATAGGTAACTATACTTTCGAACCTTCGAATTTTTGATTTACCAATAATCAAATCAATCTCGAAGGAAAAAAGGTTTTAAAAAAAGAAAGAGCTAGAAACATGGAAGTCTGTCGAAAAAAAAAATCGCACAGATACAGGTTCAAAGCCCAAAGAAAAAACCCCGACACGAGTAAACAACTAACAAAAGAGTTCGATACAACCGTAGAGCAGACCTAAATAAACCTAGTGAGCCAGATAAACCTACCCTAAGCGGATCGTCAGGGAAAACTTTCCCTGAAGATCCGCTTAAGTGAAACCTGGGTAGGTTTGTCTGGCTCACTAGGTTTATATATATATATATATATATATATATATATATATATATATATATGAAATGGGCAAAGTCTGACAATTATTTTAAGACATTTTTATGTTTATAAGTTCTTTTTATAGATACAAATATTTAAGTAAATGCCCTGTTTATAATAAACAGTATTAACGACATTTACCGGCTTGAATGTCCGAGAAATTTTCATAGAAAATATGCGTCCTCCGACAGGACTCGAATCATGGAGAATTGTACTTTAAAACCAATAAAATCGACCGGGCTAAACGAAGCGCTCATCTGTTGCTAAATCTGTAAAGCATATCAGACTATATGACGGTTCCGTGTAGGATACCGGTTCGATCCCTATCGTAGGCATCATATTTTTTAAGAAAATTTATAGATTTATGTGCCTTCCGTTAGCTACGATTTTTTCGTTTTTTCGCTACACACTGCGATTCCAATTGGCAATTTATAGCCCATTCCCAGATAACTTCCGATTCATCATCAATGTTCGCTCTTCCATAAAAAAGGAAGCAAACTCAAACACAATTTCTATCTGGCCAGAAACATGGCGGCGTGCTCGGCTTGAAGTGGTAAGTAATGATTTGTTTCTCTCACTGAGACATATACAAATATATGTAGACATATACACATATATGTAGACACACGAAAACACGTCCAAGAATCACGCTCTGCTTACACTTATTCCATTTCTGTTCATGTTAATTATCCGCCCGAAGAAGAAAAAAAAACTACCTTCCTTTATTCCTTGACCCTCCCCCTGTATGAGTCAGACACACACGCACGCACACATCAACATAGAAAACATAAATAAATAGAATGAACACATATATAAAAAAAATATATATATATATACCGTAACCCTGGTAAGGAGCAAACAGGTGCTACATCTTAGCCAGAGAATACCCGTAGATAACAATGGTCCGAGGTACCCTAATTCTGTCCCCTAGTCGAGACTACATTGTCGAGTGTAATTTTAGGTCATAGCCCCAGACCCCCACCAATATTTTTTTTTAAATAGACAATAAAAAACAAATATTAATCGCTACTTCCTTTCATCTCCTTACTGACTGTCAATCATCTTTTCAACCATATATTAAGACATTTTATATGTTTATACGTTCTTTTTATGGATACAAATATAAAAAAAAGCTGTTTATAATAAACAGTATTAACAACATTTACCGACCTGAATGTCCGAGAAATATTCACAGAAAATATGCATCCTCCGACAGGAATCGAACCTGTATCCTATACGGAACCGTCATTTAGCCTGACGTGCTTTTACCGATTGAGCCACAGTGGAGAGTTGTGGTTAGCAAGGTCAATTTTTACTGTTTTTAAACCACAATTCTCCATGATTTTCTCTCATATATTCATATCTGCTCGATGCGTATCCAAATGTAAACAAACGACGTCACACATTATGAAATGGACATTAAAATAATTGTTGGGCTTTGTCCATTTCATAATGTGTGACGTCATATATATATATATATATATATAATTTTTACTGTAAGTCAGTTGTAATTGGTTAAAAATCGTTTTATATCACGTGATTTGTTTTCAACTCTGTGCATACCAATTTCCATTTTTTGTGTAGCTTTCTGAATTCTGTTATCTTGGGACCAGCAAAAAAAGGGATGCATTTTTTCCTAAAATGAAAGCAAAATTGCTACACTCTGTTTTGAATAGGCACGTCCGCTTTTCGCTAAAAAAAACAAAAAAAAAAACAAAAACAGAGCAGCATGATGAAAAAAGTCCAAAACTTAATAAAAAAAAAGTTTTATCGTCAAACAAAATCTTAATTATATATATATATATATATATATATATATATATATATATATATATATATATCAAATATCAGTATTCAAAAAACGTTTATGTCATAAAATCTGTCGGATTAATAAACTCCATAACTTCATTAGGAATTATTATTTATTGTATAAAAATACTTCTAGCCATTCATATCTAGAGTGAAATTCGCAAGCCTTTTGTGTCCAGCGTCAGATGAAGTCCCTACTATTGTCTATAATTGGATTTTCTCCAGGAATTTTTAGAATGAAGTTCTCATTATTTACATTATTATTTAGAGGCAGACTATTGTCCCAAACATTGTTGTTGTTGCCCCAACTTTTCAGCCGATAAATCTCTACACGTGGCTAGTTGATCGAGAGCAGTCTATCACTGTTGATTAAATAAATGGTTTTGAAAATCCCTGTAGATTATGACATATTCCTGATGAAGGCCAGAGGGTACAACGAAACGTTGTGATAATAGCAACATAGATAAGGGAAAAAAAAAGGGCCGCATGTAAAGAATGTTAATAATTATTTTATCTTATTTTATTTATTTAATTATTGCATACGTCTTACCCTTTGTACAGTTACTCAGGAATTTTTTTTCGGATTCATAGCGGCGAAGAAAAAATAATAAAAATTAAAGTTAACGATACCTAAAAATTGGAAATATT